ACATGTCACCTTGCTACTACTAATATTCCTCCCACCTATAACATGTCACCTTGCTACTACTGACATTCCTCCCACCTATAACATGTCACCTTTCTACTAATAACATTCCTCCCACCTATAACATGTCACCTTGCTACTACTAATATTCCTCCCACCTATAACATGTCACCTTGCTACTACTGACATTCCTCCCACCTATAACATGTCACCTTGCTACTATTTTACGAAACAAAGATCCGAATCCGAGCGAATTCGAGCGATACATAACATTTTGCTGATACCAGGATATAATTAAAGAATTGAGAATGAGAAGTCTATAGTTTGAACCCTGTAAAGACACACTGGCAGTTATCCTATATTACTAAATCTGAAAACACTGCTTTTAAGATATCAACAACAAAATCCCACATCTATTGACGTTATGACGTTGGGGTGTTGGAGCTCGATCGTATCCACTTGACCACATTCTTCATATACATCTGAGTCTTTAATATCTATCTTAGGTAGGTATTTATTATTATTTATGGTATTATGAAATATTTTAAAAACAATCTGTTGGTATTTATTATCGACAAGCAAATAATTGGTAACAATAAACATATTACTTTTTTCTGCTGGAATTTCTAAGTATTTTTATTGAGCAAAATAAATAGACTTTGTAGGAATTATTGAATTCAAAGGTATGCCATTAACTGTTGGAAAGTTATCAAGATCGGTATTATTACTATTTTTATTGGAGAATTTGTAGAAGAGATTACAGCCAATTGCCTTCTTAACTGCAGTAATATATGTATTATCCGAAATGAATTTCTATCGACGTTGATGTTCGGCCCGATATGAGAACTAATGTCGCGACAACGAATAGTAACTGTTTTGTTCAATGAATAAAATAGGATAACTATTAGAACATTCCAGCGGTGGAATCTGCGTGTCGTGTTACAGTATCAGGTTACAGTTACAGTCACAATTTATACTGACTGCTTGTAAACAGGCAACACATACTGGCGGATGTAACGAACTGTCTTATGGTCCCGGCCTTTTTTATAGGTGTTGTATATATGTTTGTAACGAACTACGGTAATAACGAACTAACATTACGGGTCCCTCTGTGTTCGTTATAACCGTAGTTTACTGTATCAATATATTCTGTATCTTTGACAGACTTTTTCACATCTCGATGCATGTTTGTCTTTGAATCAGAGAACTACTTCCTAGTTGTTAGTAATGGTTAAGTAAAGTAATGGACATTGCGTGTTCGTCGTGTTAACAGGTGCGTGGGTGGCCCAGTCCATGATTTGCGTTACTCGGGCAAGACAAAACTCCCCGACTCCCGGGCAGAGGGGCGTGGTTTGGGTTAGCTTTGCAGTCGCTGCAGATGCTGTACGCCAGGACAATACACAAGTGTTGTCACGTTCGTTCGTTCGTTCGTTCGTCCGTTCGTTCGTTCGTTCGTTCGTTCGAACACAGTAGAGGGAAGGATATTGCAGTTCCAGTAGATATCAGGTGGCTTCTCATAATGAATCCGATTCATTATTGACGAAGTTGAGTAATCGATGGGCATTCATTGTTACAGATATAACTGAAACAGAACATGTTTCCATGGTTACCGACCACTTTAATATATAGTGATATTTTACACAGGGTTCACACGGACTGAAGTTTATTCTAGAAATAAATAAGTCCTCATTTATTTATTTGCACAAGCTATTTATGTCGTCATTTACACACAAAGATGTAGATAGCGACACGAAATCGGAGCCTGCAACCCAACCTGTATATTTTTTATAAGCCTGTCAGTAGTTAGCTGGTGCGTGTTTCTCTAATTGTAAGTTAATGGAAACGCCCCCGGGAATACAACGATTCAATACGCCTAACAGACAGACAGACAGAAGTTTATTCAATATTTTAGGCCATATGACCTATGGTACAGTAGTGGTTTTGTATCAACATTGTACAGTCACGTGTAGGTAATAATAAAATATTAACGTCTAATTTCAAAAATCTTCTTCAGGAATATTGACAGAGATGATATTGTATTTGCATTGCAGGAGTTCAACAAATTTTTCATCAGTTGTTCATCTTTGTACATAGTTGAAATCATATGGAGGTATCTATTTCTAAGAAACTGATAATATTTACAAATGAGATGTACTTGAAACTCATCCTCAACATAGCCTTCATTACAATAACGGCATAAACTACTTTCTTCATCTTGTACATTTTTCTTTCTGAGATTGTTAACATTAAAATTATGTAATGATATACGTAACTTACACAAAGATCTTCTCAAATTTCTATCCTGAAGTACAGATACATATTTTTCAGGAACAAGTAAAGATTATATATTCGTATAATGGCATAAAAACCTTGAGGATGATATTTGACAGTACCAGTCTTGTGAAAATATATCAACTAATCTTTCCTTAAGCATGAAGATAAATAGTTTATCATTTCCAACATCTTGAGATATCCATGCAAGAGAAAAACCAGACATACAAAGAATATTCCTGATATCAGACACCCATAAACAATATTTACCCTTTTCATCCAAGGCTTTTAACATATTATAATAATGAAGAGGAAATCTATTTGAATTCATACGAAGTAGCTTTATCCAATATTTAACTGCCCGTAGCTGGGATGAAACAAAAAGACTGGTACGACTAGTTTCTCCTAGAATGGCTTTGTTAGAGGCATATTTACCGACACCTAAAAAACGTTTAAAGTACATGGTATGAATATTTTCTATGGAATCATTATAATGACATCCCCATATTTCTGAACCATACAGCAGAATTGGTGCTATTTTTCTGTCAAAAATGTCCGAAACAACTCGGAAAGATATAAATTTGTTTTCTTTAAAAACTCTATAGACAGGAATCAAGGCTTTAGATGCTTGCAGAGCCAACTGCTTACAAGCTGTTGACCATGCTAATCGAGAAGATACAGTCAATCCTAAATATTTATAATATGAAACAATATTGACTGTCTTATTACAATATGTCCATTTTTCAAATATATTTAGAATACCAACTTTTCTGAAAACAATAACATTTGTCTTTTTCAAATTTACTTCAAGGCCCCATTTCTCAAAATATAGCTGGAGAACATTTAACTGTTTCTGGAGGCCACTAACTGAAAATGATAATAAAGCAATATCATCAGCAAATAGTAACAGCATTATGTCAATTATATCTTGTGACACAAAAACTCCGTAATCACATTCATGATACATTTCAGTTACAAGTTCATTTATGAAAAATATAAATAGGACAGGGCTGAGTACAAAGCCCTGTCTTACACAAGCTGAAGTTCTGAAACATTCAGTGATTCCTTTATCTGTCTTGATACATGCCTTAACTGATGAGTACATGCTCTGTAGAACGTTTGACAATTTGCATGTTAATCTTTTAGTAATTAATAAAAACATCATTTTCTTTCTATCCACATAGTCAAAAGCCTTTTTGAAATCGATAGAGGCACAATAAAAACGGCCCTTGGGTTTGATAAGATATTTTGTACACAAAGATTGAAGAATAAATATATTGTCTGATGGAGAATAGTTGGGTCTAAATCCAGCTTGGGATTCTGATAACAGGTCATTCACATCCAACCATGTTCTAATACGTTTTTCAATTACAACAGAAAACAATTTGCCAGGCACCTTTAAGAGAGAAATACCTCGGTAGTTGCTTGGATCAGATATGTTTCCAGATTTATGTAGAGAAATAATCATTCCTATATTCCAGGAATCCGGAAAAAACACCAGTATCTAGAATTTTATTAAAAAGCTGCCTAAGATACGGGTTTATGAAATTTGTTGTACTTTTCAGATATTCAGGGGGTATACCATCCTCACCGGCTTTACCCACTTTTAACCCATTTAAAGCTTGTTTAATTTCATTTTCAGTAATTTCACCTGATAAGAGCTGGTCAGTAAAAGGCATATAATTACAATGTTGACATGAATGGGAATCTAAAAAATCCTGAACTGATTTTTCAAATTCATTTACATCTCTGTTTAAATCTGGATTTAATAAATTCTTAAAATATCTAGCCCAAGTGTCAGGGGTTATATCACCTTGTCGTGCGTTACTTCTCAAATAGTGCTTTATAGTATTCCAGAACTCTTTACAATCACTCATATTTGCAGCCTCGGTTAATTTTTTACTCATATGTATTTTATACTCATTTTGTTTAGTTTTACACTTCCTTCTGAATTCAGTTTTTGCACATAAATAATCTTTTAAGTTTGAGTCACTCTTGAATGATCTGAAACGATTTAGTAGCATGTATTTCTTAGATTTAAGTTGACAGCACTCTGCATCAAACCATAACGGTTGCTCTTCAGAGGTTTTATTTCTGGACCATCTACAGACTGCCCCCGCCTTTTCCCCACACTAGATCAGTATATCAGCTAATTTCCTAACTGCAGCATTTATGTCTACGTTACGCCTAACGTACCTGAACATGAATCCAGGCATAACTACACCCACGTTGGCTTTTTGTTTAACGCCGAATAATCGAATCTGTATCAGACAATCCAGTGACTGACATCATGAGCATTGAGATCCCCTATTGGGATACGATGACAAACACCACCCAAGTCTGTGAGCCTGACCACCCGATCCCGTTAGTCGCATTTTACGATAAGCACACCCATGTCTACTCGAGGCAGTGGCCTGACCACCCGATCCCGTTAATCGCATTTCACAATAAGCACACCCATGTCTACTCAAGTCTGTGAGCCTGACCACCCGATCCCGTTAGTCGCATTTCACGATAAGCACACCCATGTCTACTCAAGGCTGCAAGGATAGTGTGTGTAACTGTCATCATTTTTATGATATATTTCTACGCTCAGACAACATCAGCGTACCCAGGGTTTCTCTTAGCACCACAACAAAAACGTATGACCACAGATTATGAACATAATATATCTCGTTCAACAGGCGATGACAGTAAATTTCTCAGCATCCTGGAAACGGGATTGATGAGAATTGAACGCCGGATCGATCGTGATGGGCCGAATGGCCGGAGGAAGCTGGACAAACTGACCCTTCACGTAGAGGATGAAGCTCACCACGACTCGGTCCACTCCCTGGACATCACTGTGACCGACATCAACGACAACGTACCGACCTGTGCGTCTGGCTTCTTCTCAAAGACAATCAACGGGACAACAAGCAGCGGTGGGTTCTATTTTACCTTAGTTAATGAAAGCTCGAATATTTGAATTATGGGTATATATATGGCTTAACCAATCTGTTGGTGATCAACATTTATTTCCAAATGATTTTCGCAAAATAGCAATAAATATGTTCTATCAAGGGTGGCAATGCAACTTGGAAAAAAGTTCACGTTAGGATTGTACAGAACATTTAAGACTCTATTAGAGCCAGAAAAATATCTATCAGTTTTAACAGTCACCTAAGAAATGTATATATTAAATACAGACTTGGCTTGTCAAAACTTATGTTTAATTATGGACGGAATATATCACTTGAAAGAATACAAAGAATTTGTCCATTCTGTAACTCTGCTATAGAAGACGAAATACATTTTTACCTTTGAATGTCCTTATTATGCAGAATTACGTACTAAATATATACCAGAATGTTTCTTATCTAAGACGAGTAGAATAGCGTTTGTTTCTATTTTGTCATCGAATGATGCCGATGTAATGTTTAAACTGTCTTTATTTGTAAAACATGGGATGGAACTACGAAATAACATGTTGAGTGGAAATTCAGAATTTTAATTACCTTACCCTAGAAAGTCCTCATGATTATCACCGATTGTTAAATGAATGTTATATTTTTATCATTTTTGTTCTATCTCCCAATCTGTAAATTCTCACCCACTGTATTTATCTGAACTTGTATATGGGCCGGTGGCCTTTGATACAATAAACGTCTTTGACTTGACTTGAATATTTGAATTATGGACAGTGAGTGAGTTAAAATGAAAGTCACGTAGGCAATATTTCAGCCGTAATGTGACATGGTACAACGGCTAAACACCAAACACACATATGCCCCATGGCTCCAATAGGCCGAACATCTTCACTTTACTCAAGTTGAAAACCGATTTGAATTAAGCTGAGGACTAGCTGGACATGATCAATGATGTCAATCCCGCAATGTATGAATACACGCTTTGTCTGCTTGGTCCAATGGGCATAAGGTGATCACTTGTTTAGTAGAATGTCTTCAAAGCCTGTAGCAGGTTTAGGGTGAGTGAGTGACAGAGCGTGTGCATTGTTGCTGCGAGATCCAGGCTTACAATAGTGAGTGAGTGAGTGAGTGGGCGAGTGAGCGAGTGAGTGGGTGAGTGGGTGAGTGAGTGAGTGCGAGTGAGAGAGTTCGAGTGAGTGAGTGAGTGAGTGAGTACGAGTGAGTGAATGCGAGTGAGTGAGAACGAGTGATTGAGTGAGTGCAAGTGAGTGAGTGAGTGCGAGTGAGAGAGTTAGTGAGTGAGTGAGAGAGAGTGCGAGTGAGTGAGTGCGAGTGAGTGAGTACGAGTGAGTACGAGTGACTGATTGAGTGAGTGAGTGAGTGAGTGAGTGAGAGAGAGTGCGAGTGAGTGAGTGAGAGTGTGCGAGTGAGTGAGTGAGTGCGAGTGAGTACGAGTAAGTGCGAGTGAGTGTGAGTGAGTGAGTGCAAGTGAGTGAGTACGAGTGAGTGCGAGTGAGTGAGTGAGAGCGAGTGAGTGAGAGTGTGCGAGTGAGTGAGTGAGTGAGTGTGAGTGAGTGAGTGCAAGTGAGTGAGTGAGTGCGAGTGAGTGAGTGCGAGTGAGTGAGTGAGAGCGAGTGAGTGAGAGTGTGCGAGTGAGTGAGTGAGTGAGTGAGTGCAAGTGAGTGAGTGAGTGCGAGTGAGTTAGTGCGAGTGAGTACGAATGAGTAAGTGCGAGTCAGTGAGTCCGAATGAGTGAGTTAGTGCGAGTGAGTGAGTGCGAGTGAGTGCGAGTGAGTATGAGTGAGTACGAATGAGTAAGTGCGAGTGAGTGAGTGAGTACGAGTGAGTGAGTACGAGTGAGTGAGTCCGAATGAGTGAGTGAGTACGAGTGAGTGAGTGCGAGTGAGTGAGTGAGTACGAGTGAGTGAGTGCGAGTGAGTGAGTGAGTACGAGTGAGTGAGTGCGAGTGAGTGAGTTAGTGCGAGTGAGTGAGTTAGTGCGAGTCAGTGAGTGAGTACGAGTGAGTGAGTGCGAGAGAGTGCGAGTGAGTAAGTGCGAGTGAGTGAGTGCGAGTGAGTGAGTTAGTGCGAGTGAGTGAGTTAGTGCGAGTCAGTGAGTGAGTACGAGTGAGTGAGTGCGAGAGAGTGCGAGTGAGTAAGTGCGAGTGAGTGAGTGAGTACGAGTGAGTGAGTACGAGTGAGTGAGTTAGTGCGAGTGAGTGAGTGAGTGCGAGTGAGTGAGTGAGTACGAGTGAGTGAGTTAGTGCGAGTGAGTGAGTTAGTGCGAGTCAGTGAGTGAGTACGAGTGAGTGAGTGCGAGAGAGTGCGAGTGAGTAAGTGCGAGTGAGTGAGTGAGTACGAGTGAGTGAGTCCGAATGAGTGAGTGAGTACGAGTGAGTGAGTACGAGTGAGTGAGTACGAGTGAGTGAGTACGAATGAGTAAGTGCGAGTCAGTGAGTCCGAATGAGTGAGTTAGTGCGAGTGAGTGAGTGCGAGTGAGTGAGTGAGTACGAGTGAGTGAGTCCGAATGAGTGAGTGCGAGTGAGTAAGTGCGAGTGAGAGAGAGTGCGAGTGAGTAAGTGCGAGTGAGTGAGTGAGTACGAGTGAGTGAGTCCGAATGAGTGAGTGAGTACGAGTGAGTGAGTGCGAGTGAGTGAGTGAGTACGAGTGAGTGAGTGCGAGTGAGTGAGTTAGTGCGAGTCAGTGAGTGAGTACGAGTGAGTGAGTACGAGTGAGTGAGTGCGAGTGAGTAAGTGCGAGTGAGTAAGTGCGAGTGAGTGAGTGCGAGTGAGTGAGTTAGTGCGAGTGAGTGAGTTAGTGCGAGTCAGTGAGTGAGTACGAGTGAGTGAGTGCGAGAGAGTGCGAGTGAGTAAGTGCGAGTGAGTGAGTACGAGTGAGTGAGTTAGTGCGAGTGAGTGAGTTAGTGCGAGTCAGTGAGTGAGTACGAGTGAGTGAGTGCGAGTGAGTGAGTTAGTGCGAGTGAGTGAGTTAGTGCGAGTCAGTGAGTGAGTACGAGTGAGTGAGTGCGAGAGAGTGCGAGTGAGTAAGTGCGAGTGAGTGAGTGAGTACGAGTGAGTGAGTACGAGTGAGTGAGTTAGTGCGAGTGAGTGAGTGAGTGCGAGTGAGTGAGTGAGTACGAGTGAGTGAGTTAGTGCGAGTGAGTGAGTTAGTGCGAGTGAGTGAGTGAGTGCGAGTGAGTGAGTGAGTGCGAGTGAGTGAGTTAGTGCGAGTGAGTGAGTTAGTGCGAGTCAGTGAGTGAGTACGAGTGAGTGAGTGCGAGAGAGTGCGAGTGAGTAAGTGCGAGTGAGTGAGTGAGTACGAGTGAGTGAGTCCGAATGAGTGAGTGAGTACGAGTGAGTGAGTACGAGTGAGTGAGTACGAGTGAGTGAGTACGAATGAGTAAGTGCGAGTCAGTGAGTCCGAATGAGTGAGTTAGTGCGAGTGAGTGAGTGCGAGTGAGTGCGAGTGAGTATGAGTGAGTAAGTGCGAGTGAGTGAGTTAGTGAGAGAGAGTGCGAGTGAGTGAGTGCGAGTGAGTGAGTTAGTGCGAGTGAGTGAGTTAGTGCGAGTCAGTGAGTGAGTACGAGTGAGTGAGTGCGAGAGAGTGCGAGTGAGTAAGTGCGAGTGAGTGAGTACGAGTGAGTGAGTTAGTGCGAGTGAGTGAGTTAGTGCGAGTCAGTGAGTGAGTACGAGTGAGTGAGTGCGAGAGAGTGCGAGTGAGTAAGTGCGAGTGAGTGAGTACGAGTGAGTGAGTCCGAATGAGTGAGTGAGTACGAGTGAGTGAGTGAGTGAGTACGAGTGAGTGAGTGAGTACGAGTGAGTGAGTGAGTGAGTACGAGTGAGTGAGTCCGAATGAGTGAGTGAGTACGAGTGAGTGAGTGCGAGTGAGTGAGTGAGTACGAGTGAGTGAGTGCGAGTGAGTGAGTGAGTACGAGTGAGTGAGTGCGAGTGAGTGAGTTAGTGCGAGTGAGTGAGTTAGTGCGAGTCAGTGAGTGAGTACGAGTGAGTGAGTGCGAGAGAGTGCGAGTGAGTAAGTGCGAGTGAGTGAGTACGAGTGAGTGAGTTAGTGCGAGTGAGTGAGTTAGTGCGAGTCAGTGAGTGAGTACGAGTGAGTGAGTGCGAGAGAGTGCGAGTGAGTAAGTGCGAGTGAGTGAGTGAGTACGAGTGAGTGAGTACGAGTGAGTGAGTTAGTGCGAGTGAGTGAGTGAGTGAGAGTGAGTGAGTGAGTACGAGTGAGTGAGTTAGTGCGAGTGAGTGAGTTAGTGCGAGTCAGTGAGTGAGTACGAGTGAGTGAGTGCGAGAGAGTGCGAGTGAGTAAGTGCGAGTGAGTGAGTGAGTACGAGTGAGTGAGTCCGAATGAGTGAGTGAGTACGAGTGAGTGAGTACGAGTAAGTGAGTACGAGTGAGTGAGTACGAGTGAGTGAGTGCGAGAGAGTGCGAGTGAGTAAGTGCGAGTGAGTGAGTGAGTACGAGTGAGTGAGTCCGAATGAGTGAGTGAGTACGAGTGAGTGAGTGCGAGTGAGTGAGTGAGTACGAGTGAGTGAGTGCGAGTGAGTGAGTGAGTACGAGTGAGTGAGTGCGAGTGAGTGAGTTAGTGCGAGTGAGTGAGTGAGTGCGAGTGAGTGAGTGAGTACGAGTGAGTGAGTTAGTGCGAGTGAGTGAGTTAGTGCGAGTCAGTGAGTGAGTACGAGTGAGTGAGTGCGAGAGAGTGCGAGTGAGTAAGTGCGAGTGAGTGAGTACGAGTGAGTGAGTTAGTGCGAGTGAGTGAGTTAGTGCGAGTCAGTGAGTGAGTACGAGTGAGTGAGTGCGAGAGAGTGCGAGTGAGTAAGTGCGAGTGAGTGAGTGCGAGTGAGTGAGTTAGTGCGAGTTAGTGCGAGTCAGTGAGTGAGTACAAGTGAGTGAGTGCGAGAGAGTGCGAGTGAGTAAGTGCGAGTGAGTGAGTGCGAGTGAGTGAGTTAGTGCGAGTGAGTGAGTTAGTGCGAGTGAGTGAGTTAGTGCGAGTCAGTGAGTGAGTACGAGTGAGTGAGTGCGAGAGAGTGCGAGTGAGTAAGTGCGAGTGAGTGAGTGCGAGTGAGTGAGTTAGTGCGAGTGAGTGAGTTAGTGCGAGTCAGTGAGTGAGTACGAGTGAGTGAGTGCGAGAGAGTGCGAGTGAGTAAGTGCGAGTGAGTGAGTTAGTGCGAGTGAGTGAGTTAGTGCGAGTCAGTGAGTGAGTACGAGTGAGTTAGTGCGAGTGAGTGAGTGAGTACGAGTGAGTGAGTGAGTACGAGTGAGTGAGTGCGAGAGAGTGCGAGTGAGTAAGTGCGAGTGAGTGAGTTAGTGCGAGTGAGTGAGTTAGTGCGAGTCAGTGAGTGAGTACGAGTGAGTTAGTGCGAGTGAGTGAGTTAGTGCGAGTCAGTGAGTGAGTACGAGTGAGTGAGTGCGAGAGAGTGCGAGTGAGTAAGTGCGAGTGAGTGAGTTAGTGCGAGTGAGTGAGTTAGTGCGAGTCAGTGAGTGAGTACGAGTGAGTTAGTGCGAGTGAGTGAGTGAGTACGAGTGAGTGAGTCCGAATGAGTGAGTGAGTACGAGTGAGTAAGTGCGAGTGAGTGAGTGAGTACGAGTGAGTGAGTCCGAATGAGTGAGTGAGTACGAGTGAGTGAGTGCGAGTGAGTGAGTGAGTACGAGTGAGTGAGTGCGAGTGAGTGAGTGAGTACGAGTGAGTGAGTGCGAGTGAGTGAGTTAGTGCGAGTCAGTGAGTGAGTACGAGTGAGTGAGTGCGAGAGAGTGCGAGTGAGTAAGTGCGAGTGAGTGAGTTAGTGCGAGTGAGTGAGTTAGTGCGAGTCAGTGAGTGAGTACGAGTGAGTTAGTGCGAGTGAGTGAGTTAGTGCGAGTCAGTGAGTGAGTACGAGTGAGTGAGTGCGAGAGAGTGCGAGTGAGTAAGTGCGAGTGAGTGAGTTAGTGCGAGTGAGTGAGTTAGTGCGAGTCAGTGAGTGAGTACGAGTGAGTTAGTGCGAGTGAGTGAGTGAGTACGAGTGAGTGAGTCCGAATGAGTGAGTGAGTACGAGTGAGTAAGTGCGAGTGAGTGAGTGAGTACGAGTGAGTGAGTCCGAATGAGTGAGTGAGTACGAGTGAGTGAGTGCGAGTGTGTGAGTGAGTACGAGTGAGTGAGTGCGAGTGAGTGAGTGAGTACGAGTGAGTGAGTGCGAGTGAGTGAGTTAGTGCGAGTCAGTGTGTGAGTACGAGTGAGTGAGTGCAAGAGAGTGCGAGTGAGTAAGTGCGAGTGAGTGAGTACGAGTGAGTGAGTTAGTGCGAGTGAGTGAGTACGAGTGAGTGAGTTAGTGCGAGTGAGTGAGTTAGTGCGAGTCAGTGAGTGAGTACGAGTGAGTGAGTGCGAGAGAGTGCGAGTGAGTAAGTGCGAGTGAGTGAGTGCGAGTGAGTGAGTTAGTGCGAGTGAGTGAGTCAGTGCGAGTCAGTGAGTGAGTACGAGTGAGTGAGTGCGAGAGAGTGCGAGTGAGTAAGTGCGAGTGAGTGAGTGCGAGTGAGTGAGTTAGTGCGAGTGAGTGAGTGCGAGTGAGTGAGTTAGTGCGAGTGAGTGAGTTAGTGCGAGTCAGTGAGTGAGTACGAGTGAGTGAGTGCGAGAGAGTGCGAGTGAGTAAGTGCGAGTGAGTGAGTGCGAGTGAGTGAGTTAGTGCGAGTGAGTGAGTTAGTGCGAGTCAGTGAGTGAGTACGAGTGAGTGAGTGCGAGAGAGTGCGAGTGAGTAAGTGCGAGTGAGTGAGTGAGTACGAGTGAGTGAGTGCGAGTGAGTGAGTGAGTACGAGTGAGTGAGTTAGTGCGAGTGAGTGAGTCAGTGCGAGTCAGTGAGTGAGTACGAGTGAGTGAGTGCGAGAGAGTGCGAGTGAGTAAGTGCGAGTGAGTGAGTGAGTACGAGTGAGAGAGTGCGAGTGAGTGAGTGCGAGTGAGTGAGTGAGTACGAGTGAGTGAGTTAGTGCGAGTGAGTGAGTCAGTGCGAGTCAGTGAGTGAGTACGAGTGAGTTAGTGCGAGTGAGTGAGTTAGTGCGAGTCAGTGAGTGAGTACGAGTGAGTGAGTGCGAGAGAGTGCGAGTGAGTAAGTGCGAGTGAGTGAGTTAGTGCGAGTGAGTGAGTTAGTGCGAGTCAGTGAGTGAGTACGAGTGAGTTAGTGCGAGTGAGTGAGTGAGTACGAGTGAGTGAGTCCGAATGAGTGAGTGAGTACGAGTGAGTAAGTGCGAGTGAGTGAGTGAGTACGAGTGAGTGAGTCCGAATGAGTGAGTGAGTACGAGTGAGTGAGTGCGAGTGAGTGAGTGAGTACGAGTGAGTGAGTGCGAGTGAGTGAGTGAGTACGAGTGAGTGAGTGCGAGTGAGTGAGTTAGTGCGAGTCAGTGAGTGAGTACGAGTGAGTGAGTGCAAGAGAGTGCGAGTGAGTAAGTGCGAGTGAGTGAGTACGAGTGAGTGAGTGAGTACGAGTGAGTGAGTGCGAGTGAGTGAGTTAGTGCGAGTGAGTGAGTTAGTGCGAGTCAGTGAGTGAGTACGAGTGAGTGAGTGCGAGAGAGTGCGAGTGAGTAAGTGCGAGTGAGTGAGTGCGAGTGAGTGAGTTAGTGCGAGTGAGTGAGTCAGTGCGAGTCAGTGAGTGAGTACGAGTGAGTGAGTGCGAGAGAGTGCGAGTGAGTAAGTGCGAGTGAGTGAGTGCGAGTGAGTGAGTTAGTGCGAGTGAGTGAGTGCGAGTGAGTGAGTTAGTGCGAGTGAGTGAGTTAGTGCGAGTCAGTGAGTGAGTACGAGTGAGTGAGTGCGAGAGAGTGCGAGTGAGTAAGTGCGAGTGAGTGAGTGCGAGTGAGTGAGTTAGTGCGAGTGAGTGAGTTAGTGCGAGTCAGTGAGTGAGTACGAGTGAGTGAGTGCGAGAGAGTGCGAGTGAGTAAGTGCGAGTGAGTGAGTGAGTACGAGTGAGAGAGTGCGAGTGAGTGAGTGCGAGTGAGTGAGTGAGTACGAGTGAGTGAGTTAGTGCGAGTGAGTGAGTCAGTGCGAGTCAGTGAGTGAGTACGAGTGAGTGAGTGCGAGAGAGTGCGAGTGAGTAAGTGCGAGTGAGTGAGTGAGTACGAGTGAGTGAGTACGAGTGAGTGAGTGCGAGTGAGTGAGTGAGTACGAGTGAGAGAGTGCGAGTGAGTGAGTGCGAGTGAGTGAGTGAGTACGAGTGAGTGAGTTAGTGCGAGTGAGTGAGTCAGTGCGAGTCAGTGAGTGAGTACGAGTGAGTGAGTGCGAGAGAGTGCGAGTGAGTAAGTGCGAGTGAGTGAGTGCGAGTGAGTGAGTTAGTGCGAGTGAGTGAGTTAGTGCGAGTCAGTGAGTGAGTACGAGTGAGTGAGTGCGAGAGAGTGCGAGTGAGTAAGTGCGAGTGAGTGAGTGCGAGTGAGTGAGTTAGTGCGAGTGAGTGAGTTAGTGCGAGTCAGTGAGTGAGTACGAGTGAGTGAGTGCGAGAGAGTGCGAGTGAGTAAGTGCGAGTGAGTGAGTGCGAGTGAGTGAGTTAGTGCGAGTGAGTGAGTTAGTGCGAGTCAGTGAGTGAGTACGAGTGAGTGAGTGCGAGAGAGTGCGAGTGAGTAAGTGCGAGTGAGTGAGTGCGAGTGAGTGAGTTAGTGCGAGTGAGTGAGTTAGTGCGAGTCAGTGAGTGAGTACGAGTGAGTGAGTGCGAGAGAGTGCGAGTGAGTAAGTGCGAGTGAGTGAGTGCGAGTGAGTGAGTTAGTGCGAGTGAGTGAGTTAGTGCGAGTCAGTGAGTGAGTACGAGTGAGTGAGTGAGTACGAGTGAGTGAGTGCGAGTGAGTGAGTTAGTGCGAGTCAGTGAGTGAGTACGAGTGAGTGAGTACGAGTGAGTGAGTACGAGTGAGTGAGTACGAGTCAGTGAGTGAGTACGAGTCAGTGAGTGAGTGCGAGTGAGTGAGTGAGTACGAGTGAGTGAGTGCGAGTGGGTGAGTTAGTGCGAGTGAGAGAGTGCGAGTGAGTGAGTGAGTGCGAGTGATTGAGTACGAGTGAGTGAGTTAGTGAGAGTGAGTACGAGTGAGTGAGTTAGTGAGTGAGAGAGAGTGCGAGTGAGTGAGTGAGTGAGTGAGTGAGTGAGTGAGTGCGAGTGAGTGCGAGTGAGTGAGTGAGTGAGTGAGTGCGAGTGAGTGAGTATGAGTATGACTCTCTCTCTCTTTCCTACACTGAGAGGCGCGTCATATACGACCATAATAAACATGTAAAGATCACAGAAAAATATGTTGTCTCCTTATACCTCAGTACATACATATTTATGTGCCCTAAGACATCCGAGATCTAAAGGATAGGGTAACGCCGAAGATCGGAGTACGATTCCCCACGTGGGTACAATGTGTGAAGCCCATTTCTGGTGTCCCCGCCGTGATATTGATGAAATATTGCTAAAAGAGGCGTAAAACCATACTCACTCACTTTAACTTCCAGATATTGTTCAAAGCGGCGTTAAACTCACCCACTCACTCACTTTCACTTACAGATGTTCCTGTTATAAATATCCCTTGTACTGATGACGATGATGGAAGCAATGGTCAGTTTTCCCTACGGATAGTTCCAAGGTCAGAGCACCCAGAGTATCAGAAACAGTTCCGGCTCAAAGCTTTCGACTTGTTTGCTGATGTTGATACTCTCCGGAGAGAATCGTCAAGGAGGGAGAGCAGTGTGTACATCCTCACTCTCCTGGCAATAGACACGCCCAAACAAGGAAGAGCAAATACCGGGACAGCTGTTGTCGTCATCAACGTGAGTGTTAAAACCGTACAGTGAAAACCCCGTCGTCGGGAAAACCTATCTCGGGATAAATTATTACACACAAAGTAACAATACTTCGTAAAGATCATTCGTTAATGCCGACTTTGTTACATTCTTTAATCTCGACAATTACCCAGGAAACCGTCTGGATTAACGAGGTGTGACTGTATGCGTATACGTTTGTATTAACGAGGTGTGACTCTATGTGTGTATGCCTGGATAAACGAGGTGTGACTGTAGGCGTATATGTTTGTATCAACGAGATGTGACTGTATGTTTGAACGTCTGGATTAACGAGGTGTGAATGTATGTGTTAACGTCTGGAGTAATGAGGTGAGACTGTGTGTGTACGTCTGTATAAACGAGGTGTGACTGTAGGCGTATATGTTCGTATTAACGAGGTGTGACTGTGGGCGTGTACGTCTGGATTAACGAGATGATGCTATGGGTGTGAACGTCCGGATTAACGAAGTGTGACTGTGGGTATGTACATCTGGATTAACGAGGTGTGACAGTAGGTGTGAACGTCTGGATTAATGAGGTGTGACTATGGATGTGGTCGTCTGGATTAACGAGGTGTGACTGTAGGTGTGTACGTCCGGATTAACGAGGTTAGACTGTGGGTATGTACGTCTGGATTAAGGAGGTGTGACCGCAGGTGTGGTCGTCTTGATTGACGAGGTGTGACTATGGGTGCGAACGTCCGGATTAACGAAGTGTGAGTGTAGATGTGTACGTCTGGATTAATGAGGTGTGACTGTGGGTATGTACGTCTGGATTAACGAGGTGTGATAGTAGGTGTGAACGTCCGGATTAACGAGGTGTGACTATGGGTGTGGTCGTCTGGATTAACGAGGTGTGACTGTAGGTGTGTACGTCTGGATTAACGAGGTGTGACTGTGGGTATGTACGTCTGGATTAAGGAGGTGTGACTGTAGGTGTGTACGTCTGGATCAACGGGGTGTGACTAGGTGTGGTCGTCTTGATTACCGAGGTGTGACTGTGGGTATGTACGTCTGGATTAACGAGGTGTGACTTTCTATGTGTGTACGTCTGGATTAACGAGGTGTGCGACTGTCACGACCTGGTCATTCAAAACCTCAATGATACACCTTGACATTATCAACCTCTCTGACACACCAGGACATTCACAACCTCTCTGACACACCAGGAAATTCACAACCTCTCTGACACACCTGGACACTCACAACCTCTCTGACACACCTGGACACTCACAACCTCTCTGATACACCTTGACATTCACAACCTCTCTGACACACCTGGATATTCACAACCTCTCTGACACAACCGGAGAGTCACAACCTCTCTGACACACCTGGACACTCACAACCTCTCTGACACACCTGGACACTCACAACCTCTCTGACACACCTGGATATTCACAACCTCTTTGACACACCTGGACACTCACGCTCTCCCTGATACACCTAGACATTCACGCTCTTTCGGACACACCTGGACGTTCACACCCTCTCTGACATACCTGGATATTCACACACCCTCTGACACACCTGGACATTCACATCATCTCTCACACACCTGGACATTCAGGCGTTAAATATCATTTATTGAGTGTCCCTCGATGACATCGTTTGTTATGTTGTCTACGGAGTACGCAAGACTCTGTATTGCTGACAACATTCACTCCTTTCAGCTACCATTATGCTATTTTGTCTACAGTTTGTACATCTGAATGACTACAAGCCCCAGTGGAAGTCCCCCGTCCCCGACATCAACCACAACTTCCCGAGCGTCACGGTCCCTGAGTCTGCGTCCCCGGGGACAGTGGTGAACACCTTCGTAGCTGACGACAAGGACCCCGAGGCAACGGTGGCATACATGCTAGCCTCTGTAACAGATGGTAGGTGGGACTCACAACCTCTCTGACACACCTTGACACTCACAAATTCTCTGATACACCTTGACATTCACAACCTCTCTGAGGCAATGGTGGCTTACATGCTAGCCTCTGTAACAGATGGTAGGTGGGACTCACAACCTCTCTGACACACCTTGACATTCACAACCTCTCTGAGGCAATGGTGGCATACATGCTAGCCTCTGTAACAGATGGTAGGTGGGACTCACAACCTCTCTGACACACCTTGACATTCAGAACCTCTCTGAGGCAATGGTGGCATACATGCTAGCCTCTGTAACAGATGGTAGGTGGGGCTCACAACCTCTCTGACACACCTTGACATTCACAACCTCTCTGAGGCAATGGTGGCATACATGCTAGCCTCTGTAACAGATGGTAGGTTGGACTCACAAATTCTCTGATACACCTTGACATTCACAACCTCTCTGAGGCAATGGTGGCATACATGCTAGCCTCTGTAACAGATGGTAGGTGGGGCTCACAACCTCTCTGACACACCTTGACATTCACAAGCTCTCTGAGGCAATGGTGGCATACATGCTAGCCTCTGTAACAGATGGTAGGTGGGGCTCACAACCTCTCTGACACACCTTGACATTCAGAACCTCTCTGAGGCAATGGTGGCATACATGCTAGCCTCTGTAACAGATGGTAGGTGGGGCTCACAACCTCTCTGACACACCTTGACATTCACAACCTCTCTGAGGCAATGGTGGCATACATGCTAGCCTCTGTAACAGATGGTAGGTTGGACTCACAAATTCTCTGATACACCTTGACATTCACAACCTCTCTGAGGCAATGGTGGCATACATGCTAGCCTCTGTAACAGATGGTAGGTGGGGTTCACAACCTCTCTGACACACCTTGACATTCACAAGCTCTCTGAGGCAATGGTGGCATACATGCTAGCCTCTGTAACAGATGGTAGGTGGGGCTCACAACCTCTCTGACACACCTGGACACTCACAAATTCTCTGATACACCTTGACATTCACAACCTCTCTGAGGCAATGGTGGCATACATGCTAGCCTCTGTAAAAGATGGTAGGTGGGACTCACAACCTCTCTGACACACCTTGACATTCAGAACCTCTCTGAGGCAATGGTGGCATACATGCTAGCCTCTGTAACAGATGGTAGGTGGGACTCACAAATTCTCTGATACACCTTGACATTCACAACCTCTCTGAGGCAATGGTGGCATACATGCTAGCCTCTGTAACAGATGGTAGGTGGGACTCACAACCTCTCTGACACACCTGGACACTCACAAATTCTCTGATACACCTTGACATTCACAACCTCTCTGAGGCAATGGTGGCATACATGCTAGCCTCTGTAACAGATGGTAGGTGGGGCTCGCCTTCACGCACGTCCGGTCCAGGTGGTTCTCTGTTTGGCCAGCAATGTTTAGTCATTGTGTACCGTCCTCATTGTAGTTATGCCATCGTGGTCTATTTGTTAGAGTCTTCTTGGGCTTATTGGAAATTGAATATGATTCTTAGAGGTAACTGAGTAGAATGTACACGCATTGCCTTTTTTGTAAAACAATTGTTTATTACATGTCATATTAGTTCTATAAGTTCTTTAAATATGTTGTTAGTTGTTCAGCTTTAGTTTTATTTAAACCCTAAAATGCACGTAATTTGTCAGACAGTTTGACGAAATAACATGAGAAAGACATGCCGGCTCATCGCAAGAGAACGCTGGAGCTATTTTCGGCCTGAATAGGTTACTGCACTTATTTACCGATGAAAGGCAGTGTTTATCAAACTCACAATGTAAGAGAGGTTATTGCATGATGGTCAAAATGTTCGATGCAAAACAGGGAATAAATTTAAACCAATATTGTTCACGTTGCCTGTGTTCATTTTACATTTTGTGGAAATTACTTTCTTGTAAATAAGTTTCACGAACAAGGGGTTTGCTGCTGTGAATTATTATTATTATCATCATCATCATCATCATCATCATCATTATTGTTATTTACATCCCGACAGCTGGCAACGTATTTATTTGTTGTTATTTCATTTTCAAAACGTTAGCAGGTCAACAGTTGTCTCGTCTTGCTACAAAGTCAAATCAGATATATCAAGGGGACTTTAGCTCTTAACTGTATGTAATTGTATCTTACTTGTATGTAATTGTATTTTAATTGGCTGTTTGGTTTCAGTCCGTGGAAATAAACATTTTATTTTAATTTGAAAGTACAGTAGGACTTTCGAAGAGAAAATGAAATTATAAATACAGCATCACTTGCCATTGAAAACTAGTCCTGTCTTTTTAGGGAACGGCAACAACATCTCCGGACTTTTTGCCATCAACTCCCAAACAGGCGAGTTGACAACTACGGCCAAGTTAGACTGCGACCAGGAGACGGGAGGTGTGGGGTATTATACCGTCCGTGTAATGGCGACGGACGACAAGCACAATATCAGTGGAAACGTCAAGTATATAGTGAAAGACTCTAACGACAATGTACCCGTGTTTAACAAGTCGTTACGGATCATCAGCGCTAAAGCGTTCAAGAGCGTTGCCATTCCTCTGTTGGAGTTTGATGTCCGCGATCACGATAAGTCGTCATCTGTTACTGTAGAATTAGAGAAGGATGACCGTCAGTACTTCCAACTATCGAAGGAGTCAGAAAAGTGGCAGCTGAAGTTTCGACCAGGAATAGACCCTCAGAAAAACCCTGACATTCCTCCAGTAATTACTGTGACCGCGAACGACAACGGCGACCCTCCTCTCACCAGTCAAGCTGCAGTCGTACTAACAGACCTCCCTTGTCATGTGCCAACACCATCTCCGCCAACGCCAGGTATTGCCAAAATTAAGCCGATAAAGTACACTCCCGGGCAAAAGAAAGTAGACACTTGCAAACTGGATTTGGTCTTAATATTACAAACGTTACTGGTTGAAAACATACACCGAAACACAGCATACGCTTGTCCTGAACACAACAGTGATACCCGTATCAAATACGTCACTATCAAACATCCATTTTTTTTTTCGTTTTTAACCATATATGTATATTAAATGGCGCTTTAGATGAACAGATGAAGCAAAGAACGGGTTTGTAATATTTTTCTTGTCGCCCTATTAAAGTATTATCCTGTTATTATAACTGTCTCCCGCTGTAAGGAGAAGGAAGGTCAAGGTCAAAACGAATTAATGCAGTGGGGAAATAAGGTGTAATTGTTTTACCGATTCCTTAGATAAGGCTCCTGTTGTCATACGGAAATAGCTTTTGGGGAATTTGTACCCTACTTTTGCTATGACGTACCATATATGCCACACCCTATTTAAATATCATTTTCAAATAAGTTTCAGTATCATCGAATCAGCCGTTTCGGAGGAGGCGATGTACATGGCCATCAACACCGTCAACATCAATGACGTCCACGCCGCAGACGGACGCCGGGAAACCAGGCAATAGCGTTAGTTCATTTGGATCATCACCAGGTGAGCTACAAACCCAATGATCTGTGATATAGCAACATGCAGGGTAGCTTGAATGGAGAAATAAGGTTAGCTCTACCCACATGTGGTGTGTAATAAAGTATTGGTTGCCCTGAACTATTACAGTTAAAACCCCTGGATGCTTGACTCGAGACATTCCACCAGTGCGTTGCGGGGCCGACATTCGGTGTCGCTGGTCACTGTGAGTTTTGGTCCGTGGTCCAGTGGTTGAGCGTCCGCCCGGGCAGCGTAAGGTCCGGGGTTCGAACCCCAACCGCGTCATACCAAAAGACGTTAAAAGATGGTACTTGTTGTTACCCTGTCTGGCGCTAGGCATTAAGGGGATAAAACAAGGACAGGTCGGCTCGGAGTCAGTATACTGTGTCTGAGTGGGTATTCATGTTAAACTGCGGCATGGTATCTCAGTGTGCTAGCACTATAAATCGGCATCAGTCCGGACTAGTACAAGCAGCCACACAAACACACACACGTACATGCACGTCGCTATATAAGTGCAATAATCTTGGACGCGACGTTAAACCCCATTTCACCTCACCCCACCTCACTGTGAGTTTTTGGGTTTTCTGTCGTACAGATTGGAACTTTTTTCCCACTTCTTACGTTTGAAGACTGCAGCAACCGCAAGCCATGAAATACTGTGCTTACGAGTAGGTTGCATTACGTGGCACCGTAACCGACGTGAACTGACGGCCTGGGGCGTGATGTGGCGTCACCGTGGTTCGATCATGGCGGAGGAAGAGCAACAGCGCTCGCTTTGTTCAACTGCAGCGTGTTGCTAAATACCCCACACTTGTTATGAAACTGTTCAAGGATTGCACATGCTTGTGTCCAGAGACAGCCGTTTTTCCTGGGGCACAAACGCCCGCCTCGGACAGGTGTGGCAAAGAGCACGGCGGTTTCAGAGATGGTTGACATCATCTTGCCATATTCTTTCCAGATAATAACATTCAATTATTCGACACTGATCAATAATTGATGTTGATGTGTAATATTGCGTTACAAATGAAAGAACGATGTTACCAAGGATACGTAAGATCAAGGAGGCGGTAACTTGAACAGCTTTTTGACGTCAGCCCATTAAGACGTAACACAAAACGTGTACTCAATCGCACGATAAAGTACAATCGTCGGCTTTAATCGTTTAGTGAATCACCTTAGAATTCGAAATATCATGTATGCGACATTTTAGATCACTCGAGCTGTATTGTCTGTCAAAGGTGTTCATCTGTGAATCACCTGTCATTTGTTTGCACGTGGTAAGGTTTTCATGCATATGAAACGGTAAAACGTTTATTTTCTTGTCTGCCAGTAAAATAGTCACTAACCTTTTACAATTTGAACTATATGAACCTCTCGGCCTTGGTGGGTAGGTTGTCGGTATCACACAGCATGGCATTACCAATTTGAATTTTTATTTTGTGTTCGCGTGATCAGTCTAACTACACATACATACACACCGTATAC